TGTGTTTGTTTTTGTGTGTGTGTGTGTGTGTGCGCGCATGTGCGCATTTGTGCCTGAATGTGTTTGTGTTTGGTCATTTATTTTTAGTAGTTTCCTCACTTTGTCATGCAGTACATATTGTATGCGTCCGATAATAATTACTCTTGCAGTGTGTGCAGAGATGTGTGTATCTTTGAATGACTTTGATACACGTGCGTGTGTGTGTACAGTGCGTGTGCATGGCTGTCCTTTTCCAAAGATTAGCTGGTGAATGCTGTGAGAGGATGATCAGACTGGGAGCACACCAGGGTTGCTCTGCGATCACACAGGGATTATGGGGGATATGGAGCTGTAGTGCATTCCAGGGCTGCCTCCAGTTAGGCTCATCTCCGACACGCTCCCCTCACACACACACCACTTTAATTGCCTTTGCTTCTTTCATTACTTTTATTGCCTCTCCTCTGCATTGCGTGCTCCCTGGGCTTGTGCAAAGGTCATTGTGATGGTGGTGGTGTGCTCATAGCCTTCGTCTCCCTGACTAGCAGGAAATAGCTGTGGGGCTGAAGCTAGGGAAACGGGTGACACAACAAAGGTAGCATCTGACAGGCTGTGCACAGATCACAACGTTTTCTAATTCATTTTTTCTCGATAAACTCGATAACTCGATAAAGTAAGTCTACACCAGAATTATATTTTTGAATGCAAGCAGGTGTGTCACAGAAATAAGGGGGATTTCATTAGGTCATAGATATATAGATAATAGATCCTTACTCTGACTGGCTATATACAAACTGTGATATTGAGTAGAATGCTAAGTAAGGCAACAGCATAATCATTATTAAAAATGGCTTCATCACCCGACAAAGGGAGGATCTATACAGGCAGTGTCAATAGCATTAGCAATATCTTGGCTCAGAAGCAGTAAAGAGGTGACAGCCCTTGGATGTTTGTGCCTTATTGCATCCCCTGTGCACAATACTGAGAAAAATAGAGGTCTTAGTGGTGGTAGGATCATCAAGTGACTTATAGTTTGAATCGTGGTACATTGAAGTTTGTCTTCCCTGGTCAACTGAAGTTACTTCTACCAAAACATCTTTAAGATGTGTACTTTCTTGACAAGTACAAACGAAGACCCAAGCATGTTTCAGTATATGTACTATATACAGATGTTCCCTTTTTAATAGTATTTGTGGTATTTAGTAATATTCTAACAACATGAGATATTTTTCTAAAGTAAATATGTTTTTTTTACTTGTTGTTATTATTATTATTAAGCCTCCTGAGCAGCTGTGGCTCAGTGGGGCGTCCACTGATAACAGGTTTGATTGTGGCGGTTTTATCTCCACTTCCTCCTGTCTAAGCGTCCTTGGGCAAGACGCTGAACTGATGGTCAGGCCAGCACCGTGCGTGGTAGCTCGCTGCCACTGGTGTGTGAGGATGTGCGTGTTGAATGGGTGAATCAGTGGCGAAAACCTTGTAAAGCGCGTCCAACCTTCCAGGTGGGTAAAGAGTAGCAGGCATTGCTGGCCGTCTGTGTCATTTTAATAACGGTTGTGATTGTGTCTCTCAGGGATAGCTATGACTTTAAGGTAGTTAAAGTCTGCAAAAAACATAAGCATAGTAAAACAGTTTGTTGTAGATATGGGATATCTTTTTTTATATATATTTTTACTTCCTTTCTACTGTCTCTGTGCTTTAATCTCTCTTCCTCCCTCTCTGTCCAGGTCCAAGGTGGAGGTTTTTGTGTTCGGTCAGACGGCTCTCATATCCTCTCCACTGTCAACCAGTTGGTCCTGGAACGTATGTAAGGCCTTAATACACACCACATTACTGCTGAGGTCTCTCTACACTTGCACAATAATTGGTTTCTATCCCAACAATAGCTAATGCACATTTTATCATATTCCTACATTGCTGCAGGCAAGCAAATGAAAAACTGGCACTGAAAATAAAAGAGCCAAGCATGAAGATCATCCATCTTCTCTAAGAAAGAGAAAGTGGACAGAAGAGAGAGAGTTATATTTATATGCCTTATTCTCAAATGCAACAGTGTGTGAAAGACAGTGCATTTTTTGTTTTTGTTTATGTACAGGCGCACATGAATCCACCTGCAGGAGGGTGTGAAAACTTGACAAATTAAGGTCAGGAGATTAAAGCTGAGGTTTACAAGAAGAGGATTGAAGAGGAGAAGATCCAGGTATACACAGAGAGAATGAAGTCACTGGGCAAAATCTACAAATGTTGTTATGCAATGTGACATTTTTACATTCTGTTTCATTTTTTGTGTTAGGCCATCGTACAAACAGGTACCTTAATAAAGTCTTAAGAAAGTTCTTGAGCCTAATGTAAATATTTTAACATTAACACAAACTATAAAATGCATTTACAGATTAAAACCATAGAGAGTAACTTTACACCAGCAGAACATGTTTATGGTGACATTGTTTGTTTGAAGTTACCATCCTGCGGCCACTTGGTGTTAAGTTACTCTTTAATGCAAAGAGGGCACTAGATACAGAATATATTGCAGTGAGTAGAGTGTGTGATGTGTTCGTGTAGCAGCACAATCAGACATTGCTCCATTAGGACACAAATTAAAACACAAAACATTTTTATTAATACAAACAAATCACTTTTTTGCTTTCTTCAAAGACAACATTTGCTGGAACTGTTGCTACTGCTAAGCACACGATAATGTCTTTTTTAGGCTTCTGAAGCCAGTTTGAAAGCCCAATGCAGAACTCTTACCAAAGAAGTTTCCCGTTAATCAAAAGAAAATTAGTTGAACTGATTCCTGCTATAGACACAGTCAAATGATCTCCATTAGTTGCGTGTTTCCATTCCTGTGCATCCTTTGACCAAGTTTACTAGTGAGACAAACCTGAGACAGTACATGATGTGGTGACTTTGGTTGTGATCATCCTACTCTTTTAAACTATCATAGTCCAGACAAAGACTTCACACACCAAAGGAGGCTGCAAATCTATACAAGCCCCTCTCTGTGACTAAATGTTCTCTACTTCTGCTCTGGCAGACTCCAGAGACAGTGTCAGTGACAAAGCAGTGAGCTTTCAGACAGAGCATGAGTGTTTCTGGAGTGGCTCATCTGAAACACGGGTCAATACAAACACTCACCAGCACATCACAGACAGTATCACTGAAAAGCAAAGCTTGTGCATAACTCCCAGGATTTTATTGGCTGTCATGTTGATTTTGCTTGTTCTGGGATTAGCATAGGCCTCAGTGTGTTTTTCTGACTAATGGTCTGTGTTTTCCGGCTGTGAAATCAGCAGCCTGAGAGCCCTGAACACAGACTGCACATCAGTGTTTGAAGTCCGCTGTCCCCCTGGGTTGTGCCTCTGGGTCCTGTTGCTAATGCAGCCCCAGCACATTTCTCTCTCTCCTTTACATACAACCATGTTTAGTACTCCTCTCCTTCTGCACCGAGGATGACCTCCACTGTAATCTGCTCGACTTTGGCCAGCTTGTGGCGTCCCCACCTGTGTGGCCCAGACCCGACTGATGGCTAAAGCTTGTTAACACCGAAGACACATTTGTGCAGTTAGCTGGGAAATCTTGAGGGTGGGCAATGGAAGTCAGTGATCAAAGGACATGGTGCAGCAGAGGAAGAGGTCTCGCCTCCCTGGCACACTTTGAGTGTCTGGAGTTGGCAAACTTTTTACCCAGCTGACCCAAGGACGTTCTCTCCTCTGGCCAGACAAACAGTTACGTGTTAGTCGCTGTTAGTGTTCACCTGTGAGGCACTTTTAAGTAAACATGTCACTCAAGCATTACCATGGAAACTTCTAACGTTTTCTAAATAAAATATGAATTTTATGCGTTACTTCAGAAAGGGTTTTTTGTTGGTGGAATGGTGTCCCACAATTGAAGCCATCTGATTTTTCTCACCCAATACCACCTTCCCGCAGAGTAAGCCAGATTTGTGTTGCCTGGCATTTGCCTGCCACACGTTCCCATCTGATATCCTCTCAGATTGAAAGGAGGGAAATTGGGGCTGATTGAAGGGATACGTTTTGGTGGTGAAAGGACAGAGGCAGAGCGAGAGCTACGTGAAAAAGATGTGAACCCAATCTGCCATGTGTTGACTGTACTGATTAGGGGCTTGTGCCAAGAAGAGCCTCTCTATCCCCTCATTCCTTCTGTTTACTTTGTGCCTCACCACCCTTCTGCACGCAGGCATCACTGCAGCCAGAGTGCCCCCCCCCATCTCAGCTTCAGCCATATCACCTGCATCACTGGGAGGCATAAGTGCCAAATTAGTCCAATTCAGAAGATGACAGCTTAACTAGGGATAGAAGGGGTTTGGTCCAGTTTGTTAATCCTTTAGAGAAAGTTGTGTAAGCAGTGTGATAGCTAATAAGAGGAGATTTGTGACATGTCTGAATATTTGCTCCATTTGCGGCAGTCAGACAGCTCTTCATGTCTGTGTATTTGTGGAGACCAGTGGAGAGCCGATGCAGACCGAGCCCATTAAGGGCCGCAGGGTGACTGGAGCAAAGTCCAGCTAATGTTTTGGGACATTCAAAAAGCCTGCAGGGAGCCAGAAGTACAGAGGTGGTCTGAAAGCAAACCGGAGATCCAGGGAATAATAATAAATGGATAAATAAGTGCATGAAATGGCATGAGAGAAGCTAGGGAAATAGCACATCTATTCTCACGCAGCACGTTTGTTTATTTATGGCGTCTGACGGCCTGGTCTGGATGGCTGGTGGGGGTTGGGGGCAATATAAGCGCAGGCTTTCCCCTCTCAGAGCTCGCCTCCCTAGCTTTCATTAAGTGTCATTACCAGTACTTTCAGAAAGCTGGCCAGGCTGAGACCCTGACATCCCCTCTACAGATAGTTGGCCATGCATATGGATGGATTTCTGATCCCTCTCATCCACCACTGAGGAGGGGGAATTAGGCCAGCGAGAAGAAGAGCAGGGGGCTTAAGGGGTGCGTCCATATCTGACTTTAATGGCAAAGATGGAGCTATTATTTCAATTGAGTGACAGTGTTCCTGCTTGGTTTGCTGTTGTGTATATGTCACTCAGGTTATCAACATTCTAAGTGTTTCACTTAAGATTTCCTTTTTTCTGACCATATGGGTCATGTACACCCATGTCTGTATGATCAAATGCATTTTACGCTTTCGTGAAGAATTGTATTTTCATTGCGACCAGTTGTGCAGAATACCCACAATGCCATTTTAAAATGTGCATTTGTAGCAGCATGGTATTCATTAGCAATTTGCTCTTCCAGCTCACTCACTTTGAGAACGTCCCCTGATTGATGGGGGGGGTCTGTTTATTTGTATATCGTGGAATGAAATATTCATATTGTTCGCTTTTCCAAGCAGAAGTTATCTAGATTCAGTGTAAATAGTACTTGGGATTAGATTTTCACAGCAGATTGCTGTTATTAAGGGGAAAAAGCCAACTCCTTTGAGCAGTCATCTTCCTGGGAGGCAATCTATTTCTCTTTCACGCAGCCAGAGTGCTGGACCAGGCTCTTAATGCACTGAAGCAAAAGTGCTTCAGTCCGCAACCTTTCACGCCTTCAGCTCTGCTTTATGTGATTGAATAGTTAATAACTATGAGTCGCCTTTGAAAGCTTTGTGCCGTTGGTCCCTCTGCGGCACTCTTCTTTTTGTCTGTTTGGCTGCTGTACCTGCCCATTGCTCAGTCTGCCTGCATGTCTACTTGCCCCAGATGCCAAGTCGACTGATAGCCCACCTCTTCTCCACCAGCCCCTCTTACCTTTATCTTTGTCTCTTGCCTGACTTGCTGCTTGTGTGTCTGGCTGTCGTAGTCTGTACGTCAGAATTTTGAGGGATAGGGATCCGTTTTTTCATCTCTTATTTCCTCGTTCTCTTCCTATACACATTAACACAAACACACACACATGCTCGCTCGCACAGCTCATTAGCCCATCCCACGCTCACAGCTCCGGCAGAATGTGACCCTGCCTAATTGTGTACCATGCTCATTTGTTCTCCCTGCATGATGTGACGATTGCTTATTTATTCTCCTCAGAGCTTCCATCTCACATTAAAATGATTGACTCATTTCATTCACTGCACATTTTCAAGCTTTATTTGATAAGCTCATTTTCCTTGGCTTACAAATCCCTCCTTTTCCCATGCTTAAAAGTTATAATGTTACCGAGGCACATTATTATTCATACTTTGGATTGTTTCTTCGGCTAATTATCTGTGTTAGAAAATAATTTTGCACGTGTGATTCTGTTTATTCCGGTGGAATTGAGCAGGACAAAAGGGCAGACATTAACGATGCAGTTGGAATAGCTGAGGAGCCAATTGTGTACACAAAGCTGGCAGAAGCAGTCAACAAGAAGCTTAAGAGGGATTGGGACACTGTGGAAACTAGCCAGAATAAGCAGAGCAAATTTGCCTTCTGTTACAATTTACATTGTACAATGAGACCCATTTTACAAATAACAAAGCCATCAACCTTTTTGTCCAATCATGTAATGAGGGAGTGTTTTGACACAGAAAAGAGCATAACAAGCGATTGCTGATTGGGGGTTTGGGCAGCATTGTTACAGGAGCATTTTTAGCTCTTGTGATTTTGCCAGCTGACAGTCGATGTTTTTTTCCCTGCAGCTACTGTATATCGACCAGGCCTTAGTGACACAGCAGCTGCAGGAAACCTGCTCAGTGTACTGGTAGGTCAATTCAGACTTGTGATAGTGACTGGCAAAGGCCACTAACCTAATACATATGAGGCATCATTTGGGCCAGGTATTGAATCTCAACCGACCAAAATCAGTGAAAGTATCAAAAAAAGTAGAGCAAGTTGACATGGATGTGTTTAGTTATTTTTTACTTATTCTTAAAATGTTGCCTGTTTCTTGTAACGTTGCTGGTTTGTTTGGCTTCTTTTAATTAAAGGGATACTTAAAGCGGCAGAGGCTGGGATATACTAACTTTTGGTCTTTAGTAAGGGTCAAGCTCCAAAACTCTGGATTCTGCAATTCCCATAATGTAACACAATACCATCATTAATCTTATTTTGTCTTCAGAGAATTCAACTTGTTTCTTTAAAACAAAAATAATGATTTAGTGCCTTGTAAAATCCCTTGTTTTTAGCTGCCTTAATGCTCTTTGATCATCCATTTATTGCCTGTGTTGTCTCTTGTGCTTTAGCTGTGCTCTGACTGCGAGAGGAGTTATGATTAGTCAAGCAAAGAGCCCAGAAGAGGAGCCGAGTATCTGCTACCAACCTCCCCAAGCCTGCGTGCTCCCAGCAGCCATGCGTGCAGAGTCCAGGAGAGAGAGCACATAAACAGATTTGGACATCACTTTGATTGGATGGATTCCACCTTTCTAATCCCAGAGACTGACATTTATATATCTGATAAGCCCCTAAAACAAATGAAAGGGGGAAGCTTCAGTTAAACTTCAAGTTTTCATGAATGATTTTAGAGTCTTGATTATGTGTTGAACAACTTTTGGTGTCCAAAAAAGCTATAAAGTTTATTTTGTATACATCACTGAAGTTAGTTTGTTAGTTTGTTATTTTGTGTCTTTGTTGAGTCTCTTGATGACTTAATGGATCAGTGTGTAGGATTTAGTGCCATTTAGCAGTGAAGCTGTATATTGCAACTAACTGAACACCACTCATGTCTGTATTTGATAAGCTGGGAATGAGAACAGGCTGTGAAGTGTGTAGGAGGAACTATGGTGGTTGCAAAACCCTATATACAACCAGTGTTTGGTTTGTCCAGTCCAGGCTACTGTAGAAACATTGCGGTTCAACATGGTGGACTTCATGGAA